TTGAGGGTTCGGGGTTTAGGGTTTACGAACCAGGAAGATTCGGGTCGTGCACCTCGTCTGAGTCCGACCCATCGAAGTCCGCGCACAGGCACGCCACGTAGAGTCCACCTGAGTAGCGGCTTAGACCCATTATATGGGTGGTTGTCAAAATTATGGTCCCTTTTTGGGTCCGTAATATAATACGGCACCTAATATTTAGGGTACCCAAACAGGGACCCTAATTTTGACAACCACCCATATTCCCAAAGGGTCCAATGTACCTATATAGTATAATGTAGGGTTTCTATATTAGGAATAGTTAGTATGTTAGTATGATTTGGGAAAGTATCCCCTATAACAGTACCTAGGACCCTCTGGGATTATGTTATGTTACATGTTAGATCACAGTATACAGTCGTGTATTATTCTATGACCTATTATAGCGGCCTAGATTCAAGCAGCCAAGAAACCTTCATTCATTAAGGATTTGTCTTTGAGGTCTATCGGGCTGCTGATTGCGATGGGCGGATGACTCCTTAAGGGGCGTGGAACTCAATGGCTCTTTTTGGAATCTACTTCGCATCTTACGGGGCCTCAAACTGTGGTGCCTAGGATGCCCACGACCACTTCATTAAGCTTGTCTGTTTAGGGTTTGGGGTTTAGGGTTTAGGGTTTAGGGCTGCATGGCCTAAACTACCCCCTGGTCGCCTTAACTCCCCTAAAGTTTACTCGCACCCGAAACACGAAAGCAAGAAACTCCTAACCCATCGTCCCAAAAAACGCCCTCTCCAAGGCTCTGTCACCCTTCACCCTCAACCCGACCCTGACACTCTTGAAGTCTTCCTTAACCTACCAAAACCTACTCTTTTTGTAGGGTACCTATACATTCCATTAGGGTTTTTAATAGGAACCTACAAAAAAGTAGGGTTTGGCAGTTTAAGGTTTCTCAGATGCCTCCACGAAAGCCTAAACTGGGCCCCCAGCTGTCTAAGGCGGGCCCCGGTGCTGCGCCAACTGGAACGGCAGCCCAAGCGCCAGAGGCCTCGACAGAATCACTAAAGCTTGGGGTTTCTGGTTCTGCACCGGGTAATTCTCTAAATTAGGGTCCCTTTCAGAGTCCCGTTTATAGGGTGCAGTACCCTAAACCCTAAACCCTGAACCCTAAACCCTAAACCCTAAACCCTAAACCCTAAACATATGTTGGGGACCGAAAACAGGGACCCTAACATAGAGAACTACCCATGAGGTCTCTGTAGAGTTTCTTGTAAGCATTAGCCACGGTTTAGGGTTTAGGGTTTAGGGTTCTTTTGCAGCGAACCCCAGAAAGTTGGAACATGGATTTAGGATGATTAGTGACAGGATCCCTGCTATTTTTACCTTAAGGGTACCAGGATCATGATGTTCCAACTTTCGGGCTTCTGCTTTAAAAGTCCTGGGGCTTGGGGCTTGGGGTCGCGGATCCAAGATTTTGTGCTCAGGCATGCCAAGACCGTTTAGGAGTCTCTTGGGGGCTATCACTTAGGGTTTAGGGTTTAGGGTTTAGGGTTTAGGGTTTAGGGTTTAGGGTTCACTTAGGATTTCAAATTGCGCCAAGAATTTGTGGCTTTGTGTTTTAGGTCCTGGGTACGAACTGAAACGGCTGTTAGGCTTTGGAGGTCAGGTTACCGCTGTTGGTTGAGTGAAAAGGCTTGTCCGAGCTCTTCAGCTCTACTTTCAAGTGGCTAAGGGTTATGTCGGTGACTACAAGCCCTAAACTTCCCTAAACCCTAAACCCTAAACTTCCCTAAACCCTTAACCCTTAACTTCCCTAAACCCTAGACCCTCAACTTCCCTAAACCCCTTAACCCTTAACTGCCCTAAACCCTAAACCCTGAACTTCCCTAAACCCTATGGACCCTAAACTTCCCTAAACCCTTAACCCTAAACTTCCCTAAACCCTAGACCCTAAACTTCCCTAAACCCTAGACCCTAAACTTCCCAAAACTCTAAACCCTAAACTGCCCTAAACCCTAAACCCTAAACTTCCCTAAACCCTAAACTCTAAACCCTAAACTTCCCTAAACCCTAAACCCTAAACTTCCCTAAACCCTAAACCCTAAACTTCCCTAAACCCTAAACCCTTAACTTCCCTAAACCCTAACCCCAAGCTGCTCGGGCTTGGAATCTCCAGCGACCCATGACTTTATGTGCCCACGAGGCCTATAGGGCCAAACCCTACAGCCCTGAAGCCCTGTAGCCTGTAGTCCTAAATGGTTTAGGATTTAGGGGTTGAGGGCTGAGGGTTTACACCCTGAGACAACACCCCATCAACTTCGATGCAACTCACAGCCCCATACAGGCATCTTCAAAATCTGCAGGGTGGTGGCTTTAGCCACTTTTCGCCGAAACGGCGGGTAAAGCTGCCCCGAACCTAATTAACCTCCAAACCCTAAAGCCTAAGACCCAAACCCTGAATCGCTCTGGGACTGGTATGGAACCCTGAGCCCTGTAAACCCTAACAGCCCTTTCTTGCAACCTGAAGCTAGGCCCAGCTGCCTAGCTATTGCACCTTGACTTACCTTTCTTTTCTTGGCTGACTTCTGAACTCCTCCTAAAAGTTAAACTTTTAGCCAACTTATTACAATTCATATAGAAACCCAAAAAAGTTAAAGTCTAAAAGAGCCAACCAGAAGAACGCCAAGTTTTGACTCTGAGCCAGGCACATCTACCTGGATAGGTGCCGCCACCGACGCCGGATCAAGGCCTCAGTGATACCTAAAACCCTAAACCCTAAACCCTCAAAGGGTCGATGAGGGATCCGACCCAGGGCTTCTCTAGAATGGCGGTTTTTATGGTTTGAAGAGGGTGTTGGGCTGTGTTGTGGTATAACTACATTTATGAAGAAACCACAGCGAATAGTTCAAGCCCTGATAGAGGAGAGAGGGTGCGAGACAGGCAGAAACTAATATAACGCAGAGTCCATTGGCATTCAAAGCCCGTTCTGGGCGTGCCTAGGGGGAACATAGCATCGGAGCCCTATGTACTTGCGACCTTACATTTCTTGCCCTGCAAGTCCGTCTAGTACGTCTCCCTGAAAATTGCCCTCCAATATAGACATGAAAGGTATACCCCCAAGTACCTAACAATCATATACTCTCCCAAATGGTAACCTACATAACTACTATCCGGAACCTAAGTTCCCAATTATTGGGTCCTTTGGACCCTTAGGGTACTGTACGACAGAGGCCCTGTTCTAGTTGTTAAAGCCACCTATGCAAAACCCTGGGATTAAGCTGTACAAAACCCTTCAAACGAACCCTATCCTCAGTATTGTAGTTATGCAAAGCCTTATAAGCCTTACAAAAACTCTGTAAAGGAACCCTTTCCTCATTTTTGAAGCCCCTGCATGAACCCCTAAACCCTCAACCCTAAACCCCTAAGCCCTAAACCCTAAACCTTAAACCCTAAACTCGGACCCTCAGGCCAAGGACACAAAAGGAACCCTAAACCCTAAACCCTAAACCCTCAGGGTAACGTCAAGAAAGGACCGAGAGCAGAGCCGGCTTCGTCCGAAGCGTTGCACGTGGCGCCCGGGCGAAAAAGAAGCCTCCCGAGCTAAGATTTCGGGTTAAGCTCCGCGGGTTTGGGGTTTCAAGTTTAGGGTTTTAGGGTTTTAGGGTTTAGGGTTTTAGGGGTTTGGGGGTTTAGGGTGTCTTCCTACTAGCAGTGGGTTTCTCGCGAGTTTCGGCAGGTTCCTCGCGCAACTCGGAGTTACAGTGGGCATTCTGGAAACCCCCAAAACTCTCCCCAAACCCGAGAGGGTTTAGGGTTTAGGGTTCAAACCCTAAACCCAATCCCTAATCCCTAAACTGATAATGTCGGACTATTCGCCATCGTCGGGACGAAGCTCCAACGGCCCATCAAAGTACCCAAATCCTGCATCCCCCAAACCCCTAACCCCACAACCCTAAACGCCCCTAAACCCTAAACGGCCTAAACC